GGAGGGTGGGGGGTGCTGCAGGCCTCTGAGGCCCAGGCGGGGGGTCTCACCACCCGGATGGATATCCACCTCTTTAGGGAGCTCATTCCAAACGCAGTCTGACCCTTGGGCTGCAAACGTGGGGACTGTAATTCCCTAGTTAGTCTTGCTGCTGATGGGCCCAGGCCTCTCCAGGAACCGGGGCTCCCAGCTGCCTCTCATTTCTGGAGAGACCAATCAAGGCTTCCCACCAATCAAGGCCTCAGAGTTCCCCGGATAGATAGAACCCTTCCCAGGGTTCATTGGAGCTTTTGTGCTGGAGCGGGTTGGACGTGGACAGTGTTGTTAGTGTTTTTAGAAGACGGCCTCCCTTCCTTCTGCACAGGACGGCAGCACCAGCCGACAGAGACCCTCACCTCGCATCTCCCAGGTAGGCCGCTCCTGGATTCCTGACTCATTGAAACCATGACTTAATAAAGGTTTGTCGTCTTAAGCTGCCAAGTATGGGGGTGATTTTTGACTCAGCAATAGATAACTAATGTATATTTTTGTTCCTAAATATTCATAAGGACTCAGGTACTCATCCAAGGCTCATAATGCTCTCAGAGGGCCGGAATTTTGCCTCAGTCCTCAAGGCAAGACCGACTACCTTACTGTGTTGTGTTGGGGCTGAACCAGGCAACCATCTCCTGCATATTTAGTGTCTGTTTCATTTGCCGCCACTGTCACTTCTCATATTTTCCACTCGCTGATTCACCCAGGTGGGTCTTCAGTGTACCAAGCATCCCCTCCAAAAAAATTAGGCTTCAAGGAAATACAACTCTGTAGAGTTCTAACTCTTTTATTCACAGATCCATAGCTATTTTTTCAAACACAATCATAATGTCAAATTGACTCAGTAGGAGGGGATTCTACCATTAGCCATACTCATAACCAGAACCAACATTCCCCAGCAACAATCTAGACAATGGTATTGTTCAGCCCAGACTCCCCCTCTTTTATGGCGGGTTCCCTCTTGGGCCTTTATTGCTCTTTCATGACACCTAGCCTTGGTCATTACCATCCCAGCCCGTCCTACCTCATATTTATATCTTTGAACTTTGAGAAGGAGTTGCAGTCCTGGTCATTTTCCTCCCAGAAGGCATCTCTGCCTTTTGTGCACTTATGGATGCTTAACAATATGTGGACGAAAGGGATTGCCCAACTCTATCTGGAAGCTTCTAAGATCCAATGATATGTTGGGAAAGGGGCAACTAACCTCTCTTCCAGCAATATTTATGCCCCAAACTCTTGCCAAGCCCCAAATATCCCCAATTAAGCAAATTACATAGCAAAAAGTCTTTTGCATCAATAAATTGAATTTACATGATTTTCTGGTTCTTGATGTTTTAGGTTCTCACCACATTTCATTGTGTGTAATGTGGGTAAATTAAAGTTAATTTTATTATCTTTCTTTCTAATGATGAAGTCACCTAAACTTTAACCTTTCCAGTGGAAATTCAAAAAGTCTGAAAGGATCAGAGCAGCTCTTTGGCAAACACACAGAGGCATCCACCCTTTATCTCCATTTATAAATCATTCGAGTGTCTTTCCCTGAGTGAGCAGCCTGTCGGGAATTGTTTGGGTCTTTTCATCTCTGCAGGCTTGTTGGAGAAGATGCCCTTCAATTATCCCTGGAAAAGTTTCTGTCCTTTGCCAAATGGCACCACCTCCGACCACAAGATATAATTATTTTATACCTACAGCAAAATGAAACTAACTGCAACTAGAACCGTTTTTATTCTAGGGCACCTTAAACAGGTTTTCCAAGGGCTAGCAAACACAGTGGTCAGATTTTCAGGCCAAAGAGGGGGGAAATGGTGAAAGCTCTTTAGAAAAAATTATTCCTTGTATGGTCCTATTTATGTTGAGGATAAGGGGAGAGTGACCTGGCCCTATCAATTGGAATTTAACTTGGGTGGGCAGTATTTGTAGTGAGAAAAAGAAGATGAAGGGCCCCCAACAAATCACTTGAAAGAAAGTGGATATTGTCACCTCCATGGCTGTCTTCGGTCATATAAATAAATCTGGGCAAAGTGGTAGAAATAAGATTCTATTCAGAATTGAGTGGATTCCTATAGAAAATGTGTCTTAAGATAAATATTTCATGATGACCTTTGTTTTTCTTGGGGAAAAATTGGTTTCACCCACAGAGGGTGATGGTGCCCAACAATGTGTTGATGGTGCAAGAACCTCCTTCCTCATCACCACATTGTAAGAAAGGGAGCTCTGGAAACTTGATATACTTTATTAATGCAAATTTTAGGCAATTGAATGAAATATCAATTTTTCCTCCTGGGCAGATGAGATGGTTAGTTTGATGTGTCCACTTAGCTAGGATCTAGTCCCCAGTTATTTAATCAAACATTCATCTAGGTGTCGCTGCAGGGGATTTTGTGCATGTGGTTAGCAAGAACAATCAGTTGACTTTAAGTAAAGGAAATATTCTCAATAATGTGGATGGGCCTCCCCCAATCAGCTGAAAGGCCTTAAGAGAAAAACCGAGATTCCTCAGAAAGGAAGCAATTCTGCCTCAAGACCAGAGCATCAAATCCTGCCTGAGTTGCCAGCCTGCTGGCCTGCCTTACAGATTTTGGGGTTGCCAACCCCTACAATGGCATGAGCCAATCCCTTGAAAGAAATCTCTTTGATTCTATTTCTCTGGAGAATTCTGACCTACTGGTATCAACACGTTTTTTCATAGTCTCGATTTAAATGTTTTTTAAAAATTGATTTGAGAGAGAGAGAGAGAGAGAGAGAGAGAAACATCGATGAGAAAGAAGCATTGATCGGTTGCCTCCTGCACGCCCCCTACTGGGGACTGAGCCTGCAACCCGGGCATGTGCCCTGATGGGGAATCGAATCTGTGACCTCTTGGTCCGTGGGATTATGCTCAACCAACTGAGCCACACTGGCCAGGGCACAAAGCACCTTCATATTAATTAGAAACCTGGAGAAGTAGAAAGAGCACTGAAGAAGGAGTTGTGAAAATTAGACTCTAGCCTTGACTCTGCTGCTGGAAAGTTCTATGACTTTGGAAAAGTTATTTAATATCTCCGGGCTTGACTTTCTAATCTATGAAATGAGGAGTTTGTATTAAATGAGCTTTTCCCAAAGTATGTCCTTCTGAATAGTATTCACTTTCATATTAAAAAAATGGT